TAGGTACATACTCGGCGAATTCTAGGATTTTCACCCAGTGACAATGACAGAACTATGACAGTTCCAAGTCAGGATGGTGTGGGGCTCGAGAGGAACTTGCACGTGGTGCTATTGTAACATTTGCTGTCCTTATCCTCAGAGTGGTAGAGGGAATGCTTCAAAAAACACTGTTGTAAGAGACTTGACGAGGTGGTGCAATGCGTTTTGAAAACGGTAAACACAGTGCTACAGATGGAGTGAACGCTTAAGGTTGTGGATGAGGAGCTGATTAGCAGGCTGTTTTGACTTAGCAGTGAGCCAGAGTGTTGGTGGAGCTGCATTCATCCAAGACAAATGGAACGTGTTCCATCACACTCGGTCTATACCTTGTAGGTGGACAGGAACTGGGCAGCTGAGATAACACCGTGTAGAGCTGGATGAACACAGCAGGCCAAGCAGCACCAGAGGAGCAGGAAGGCTGACGTTTCGGGCCTAAACCCTTCTTCAGAAATGGGGGAGGGAAAGGGGGTTCTGAAATAAGGAGAGAGAGAGGGAGGTGGATAGAAGATGGATAGAGGAGAAGATAGGTGGAGAGGAGACAGACAGGTCAAAGAGGCGGGGATGGAGCCAGTAAAGGTGAGTGTAGGTGGGGAGGTAGGGAGGAGATGGGTCAGTCCAGGGAGGACGGACAGGTCAAGGGGGCGGAATGAGGTTAGTAGGTAGGAAACGGGGGTGCGGCTTGAGGTGGGAGGAGGGGATGGGAGGGAGGAAGAACAGGTTAGGAAGGCGGGGACGAGCTGGGCTGGTTTTGGGATGAGGTAGGGAGAGGGGAGATTTTGAAGCTTGCAAAAATCTACAAAAATCGATACCATTGGGCTGCAGGGTTCCCAAGCGGAATAGGAGTTGCTGTTCCTGCAACCTTCGGGTGGCATCGTTGTGGCACTGCAGGAGGCCCAGAATGGACATGTCGTCTGAGGAATGGGAGGGGGGAGTTGTTTATTGCGAACCGAGCATAGGTGTTCTGCAAAGCGGTCCCCAAGCGTCCTACTACAAAACCAGTTCACTGTTTGCTTCTTCAGGAGCCTGTTCTTTACAGCAATAGTTGCACATAATGGGTTTCTATCCCATCTGATTTCTCGCATTTCCTGCTGCGACAACTTGCTGTTGAGTAGAATGCAACCTGTTGAACCTGTTCTTAGTTCAATACAAGTCTTCTAAATCCTATTTGGCTGGTAGTTCACAAATGATCATATTTGTCATGTCTTACATGTATAACCTACAAAATCTAGTTGATTAAGGAGTTGGAATAGGGTGGGTTTGCATTATCCTGGTGTATTCTACAGATTTTACAATTAGGAGCAACTTTTATTGTTAGCTTTGTATAACTGATGTTTAAATGACAATGGATGTTTGGTGACCCTCCTTTACAAGTTTGCTAAAAACAATGCCTATGACACCCAAGTATGCGGTCTCTTGTAACCTAAATGACTAGTTTTTTTTTGTCCTGAGTTACTGACTGGTTTTGCTTTTGTTGATCTGGGCTTTTGAAATGGACTGTTCTTGGTCTGATCATTAGGAATAATAAATATCAGCTGCTTGA